AAGCCCAAACCCTAAACCCTAAGCCCAAAGCCCTATCTTAAATTTGGGTTTCTTGTGATCTGGGCGCAGGATCCTGGTCCAAGCTCTTCTGAAAGGAGGCACGCAGGATCTCCCCTCAGTTCTTGAGATCATGGTGGCAGGGTTTAGGGTTGAGGGTTCAGGGTTTGGGATTTAGGGTTCAGGGTTTGGGATTTCGGGTTTGGGGTTTGGGGTTTAGGGTTCAGGGTTTAGGGGTTTAGGGTTTAGGGTTTAGGTTTTAGTAGCCCCGCAAAATGTAAACTTTCGGTTGTCCCAAATTTCAAACCTCTACACGGGATAACAAACAGTCTACCCGTTCAGCTGCAAAGTCGCCCCACGCAGGTGCCATCACCACCAGCCCCGCGACGTACGCCACTTGGCTGACAGCTGAGGTGAGCGTCACGGACCTGGCTGCACGCGCTCGTTCTTGCAGGCAGCAAGCACGGTACGACTGGCAGTCAGACAGTAGCAATGGCAACCATGAGAAAACAACAACAGCAACAATGACAACAGAAAAGACGATACTAGTTCTGATACCAGAAGACCCTAAACCCTAAACCGCCAAAAGCAGCTATGGAACGCAAACCGGCAGCGTCATCATGATCGTCAACTCCTAAGTCATCATGACCATCACATGGGTAGTTTTCAAAATGAGGGTCCCTTTTAGGGTCCTTTTTATAAAGGTGCCGTAGCGTATTGGGGACCTAAAAAGGGATCCTAATTTGGAAAACTACCCACATGTCCACCACGATCAGTAACAGCACAATCAGCACGAGCATTATCCTCAACGTTGTGGTGACAGTGCTGATGATGCGCGGACAAGAAACAAGTGCGAAACAACAGAGCACCAAACGGGGAGTGCGACACTCAAGCAAGAAGAAAGGCAAGAACAACAAGAAGTCATGAGTCTAACTGGTGATGGATAGAATCCTGCATCACTTTGAATATTCCCCTAAACTTATATAGTCATACATTAGTTAGTATGCAGAATTCTGTCCATCAGCAGTAGCAGCAACATCAGCAGCGCACCTCTGTGCCCGCTTCAGGGTCAGGTCCACATCCCGGTCTCCCAGCACCTCGTGGCAGCAAAATCGCTTCGGGTTTAGGGTTTTGGGTATAGGGTTGAGGGTTTAGGATTTAGGGTTTAGGGTTCAGGATTTAGGGTATAGGAATTAGGGTTAGTTTAAGGCTTCTTGGAGGTGTTTGTTCCATGAAATAACCCCTTGGAGTTTTGCTATACTAGGAAAAGCCCCAAAACAAGCAATTCACGCTGAAGGCACCACGCTGGCATTGATGCGTTCGGCCTCCGCCAAAAGCACTGTCATCTCGGACGAGGCCTGGGGGCCCCGGACCAAGAGGTCACCTGGGTATGGCCATTATGTACTGTTGGGCTTTGGGTTTGGGGTTTTGTAGGGTTTAGGTTTTAGGTTTTGCAGGGTTTGGGGTTTAGGGCGCCGTAGGGTTTACGGCTTAAGGTGTTGTAGGGCTTAGGGTTTAAAGCTTTGTAGGGTTTAGGGTTTAAGGCTTTGTAAATTGATTCGTACCCCCTAAACCCCCAACCCTAAACTCTAAGCTCGAAACCCTGAACGTTGCCCCCTGAACTCTACAAAGGGAAGCAAGAGTATCCCAAGGTGCTACCGGCTACCTAGCGATACACATATCTTTAGGCAAGCCATGATAGACCCGCGCAGCGCACCCAGAGCGCGCGCGGTTCCCTAAGTAGGGTCAATCGGGGGCTCCAAGACCCAAAATGGGAACCCAATCTAAACACTAAGCCCTCACCTCCAACCCTAAGACCCAAGCCCTAAACGGGAAACCCTAGATTCCAAACAAACCCTAAACCCTAAACCCTAAACCCTAAACCCTAAACCCTAAACCCTAAACCCCTATAAGACAACACGGTTCTTCATGCCGAAGGGCGGAAAAACTCTTTGACCAAGTCCTGAGGTCTCCATGACTGTGCGATTCTAGGGGCCTGGTTGGGGGTTTAGGGTTTAGGGTTTACAGGGTTAAGGGCTTAGGGTTTAGGGTTTAGGGTTTTGGGTTTTTTGGTTTTAAAGTGCAGTGGCGTTTTCGTCTGAGCGAGCCTGCCTCGGGTGTGGGGTTTAGGGTTTAGGGTTTAGGGGTTGGGTAGAATAGGTTGGGTACTGCCCCTACACGGTAACAGTATAGAATAAGGCTACTACTAAGTAATAAGGGCCTGATAGATCTGTATGAACATTATGTTTCAAGCGTGACTGAGTGGGGGGCAGCATCCAACAGGATTCCGTTCAGGCTTCCCGTAATGGGTTCTATGAGGGGGGTTTATGTAACTGCAGCCTGAATAATGAAACGTTTATCATAGGGTTCGATGATAGGTAGAATAGAATTCGCTTTAGGGTTCTAGGGTTTGGGTGGTTCTAGAAGGGCTCTAACAACTGGAATAGAAGTTGAGGTTTTTTCCCAGTAGGGCCTGTGAGGCAATATTGGTACTGTGTATTCAAGAGCCCAAGGTTGTGGCGCTCTCTCCTGTACATACCCTCGTGCCATCGCCAGATATTTGATTATCGTCGACGGCATTAAAGAGTTGGAAAATAAAAAAACAACAGGCAAACAACGCTGCTTTACTGCTTTACCCGGGTGAAGACCCTGCAGGTAGATGTATTGCAAGGCATCCCCCTCTCAACCCTAAACCCTAAACCCTAAACCCTAAATCCTAAACCCTAAACCCTAAACCCTCAACCCTCAACCCTAAACCCTAAACCCTAAATCCTAAACCCAAAACCAAAAACCCTAAACCCTAAACCCCCTCAAACAGAATGATGCACTCAACTGAATAAGTGTTTGCCCTGGCTCAGGGCCCGAAATAAGAGATCCAAACACATTCAATACCTTGGGGTTTAGGGTTTAGGGTTTAGGTGAGACTCAATTCAGCAAAGCCCTATAGCCCTAGACCCTAAACCTAACTAACTCCAGACCCTAAACTGGACTACCTCAGAACCTCAAACCCTGAAAACCCTTCACAAAACTGATTCCATACCTCAAACCCTGAACCCCAGACTGCGCTGTCGCCTAAACCCTGCACTCAAAACTGCACCAACCGGAAACCGCAAACTCAACTCACCCAATACCCTACACCCTAAAATCCTAAGCCCTATAAACTCTAAAACCCTGAGTAATATCGGGTTCGGGTTCGAAGGGCTCAGGCCCTGAACCCTAAGCCCTAAACACTAAACTCGAGGGTGGTTAAACCCGAAACCCGACTTTGAAGGGCCCAATCTTTATAATATAGGGGCGCAAGTAATTTTCAAAAGGGTTTTGGGGCCCATTATAATAAATATCAAAAGGAACCCCCAAATCAGTATACTCTCCGAGAATCCAGGGGAGTGTAGCGCGCATCGCTGCGCTCGACTGATGGAGAGGCCTTCGGACGGTGGCGGAAAACAGGCAAATTTCAGTCCCCCGAGGGACTGGCTTAGGGTTTAGGGTTTAGGGTTTAGGAGTGTTTAGGGTTTAGGGTTTAGGGTTTAGGAGTGTAAGTCTTGGTTGGTTCCGTTTAGGGTGTTAGTATTTTGCCGACTTGTTTAGCTTCTTCTTCTCCTGGCTTGCGGCATGTGTCCTTCATGGTGCTCTCTGGCAAGGCTCGTAACATACGGCTATGGCCTTTCCGTCAGGACTTTAGTGTTTAGGGCTTTGAGGGACCTGGGCCGAGGGCCCAAAATCCATGCAATCCTTAAACTCTCAACCCCAATGCGCGGAGGCTTTGCGTTCGGTGGGTACTGCAGGTAGTAAGGAGGATTCCTGCTTAGTCCCTAAATACTTCCCAAACCCTAAACCCTAAACTCTAAACCCTACACCCTGACCCCAAAGCCCTAAATCCCAAACCCTGAAC